ATGGATATGTTCATAATAATTATGATATTGAGTGGTGATTCCAGTACAGGCTGGCAATTATTTGAGTCAAGAGAACTTGATCAGAGGATGCTGCAAGCTCTGCTATTGCCACCTGCTGTCCATGTTCACCTTGGAGTGGCTTGGGTGGGCAGGGTTGCATAACAGTTACCAAATGGATGGCAAGGACTAAAGTGCTGAGTGGGTGCAAAATGATCAGAAGCAAAGAGCCAAAATACTGTGAGCAAAGATTCATCAGGAACCTGCAGAAGAAAGGATGGTCCTGAATGGTCAATGTTTTGGGGTCTCCACCTAGGGACATCTAGCTTACAGCCCATCCCTCACCCTATTTACTTATATACCTTCTGTTCCCAGCAAACATCAGCTGTCAGTGACTGTTGCCACCTACTACAAAGTCAAACCTCAAAGCTCTTCCTGCCTCAACAGCAGTAGGGCATTCCCAGGCGGGCCATTGATGCCTTTTTTTGTGTAGCAGGGACAGGTTGCAGTAATTATTCCACTAATAAGGAGGATATATTGCCATGGCAGTACAGCTAGAGAAGGGTTAAAATGCTGGAATTGGAGATTGAGGTCAAGAACTAAGGAAGGAGGGGCAAGACTGAGAAAGGAGTAGAGGCCAGTAATGGAGCAACAAGTGATGAAGCTAGGAGGATTTTGACAAAGCATGAAATGGAACTCTGCAGGGTCATTCCTCCTTCTGTGTAAGATGCACAAATGGACAAAGTGATAGGACTGTCAGAACAGGAAGCTCTAATTAAAAAAAAAAAAGGCACAAGCACAGCATATACCTGAAAAAGTGCCTCTTGCAGCTGCTTTTCCTTTGTCCTAGTTAGAACAGCTGGGACCAGTTCATCACTGTATGGGTGTAACCCAAAACTGTGTATTCTATAGCCTTCCATGCCATTTCCCAGAAACTGTTATCAATAGACCATTTACACCCTCTGCCCAGAGCAGCCTGACTCCTCGGGCTATAAACTGGGTGTTAAGAGGCCTGTGAGATAGGAGGGTGCCCCCTGTCCTCACATCCATTGTGGAACTCCCCGCCCTGAGGGAGGTAATGAGCATTCCTGCCTGAACTGAAGGATATATAATCTTGGGGTCTTGGGACTTTTTTAACCACTCGTGGGATCCAGAGGAAGACTGCAGACCATCACTCTCAACCAGACTGCAACCACCACTCTCGACTGGACTGTGATCACCACTCTTGACCAGACTGCAACAGCACTCCCACCAACAGGTTTTCCCCTCTCCTTTTACTTTGGACTCAGGGGGCCCAACAAACACCACTCTGTTCATGCCCCAGGGTGCTGGGTTATACATTTGGGTTTTGTGGGTTAAAACCAATTGTCTGTTTAATCGTACTTATTGTATTATTTTATTAAATTGTTATTCTGATTTATAATCTCTTTTGAGTTGGGTTCATTTCCCCTGCCGGTTTACCTTTAAACCAGCACATTCTCTAACTGTATGACGGGTGTGTGAACTTTGCCTCATACACCTCTTACCTTCCGTAGTTCTGTTAAAGGCCCTTTTTCCCTGCCTCATGCCCCAGTTAAGTAATATCACTGTTGCTAGGCTCAGAGATGTCACTAGTACATGGTATGGAGATGGCAGACAGTACTACGGCAGTAGAAGGTACCTTGACTTAGATGTAGAGCAGGAGAATGTTTGAGGAGCAGCAATGTGTTCTGCTCAAAGTTATTACACTCATGTTGGCTAACAATAGGAGCAAGACTGTTTTAGTGGATATCAAGGCTATGCATAACAACCTGAACAACTGCGGCATCAGGGAAACCCATAAATACCCTTAGGTTTTATTCTACACATGAATTGAGAATTGGGTTCTCCACAAACAACTTCTGAGGATTCTGCAGCATCAGAACTCTCTTCTATCTCTGCTACAAAGGCAATCAGAGAACCCAGCAAAAAAACCCCATTATCATTATTTTTTTTCCTCTCTTTTGTTGGGCACAAGACACGCTTTTAGTGGAGCCAAGGATACCTGATGGAGTAGAAAAAACATCCACATCACTCTTTCCCTCCTCTCTTCCAGTCAGTGAATCAGTGCTGGAGTTACGGGAATCTACATGCTCTTTATCCTTCCAGCTGGAATCAAAACATGAGTGTACAAAATGTGGCGTTAAACAACATAGTAATCTTTTTTTCAGGGTTAAAATTCATGTAAAAACTAAATGTCATTGGCTGTTTAATCTATCTTTTAGGCTGCCACTCAGATAATCAAAGGCTAAAAAGTATTACTTATGCTGACTGAACGCAGGGTAAATTTTACTGACCTGGTATTGGCTTTAAAATCATACCAGATACCAGGACTTATAGAAGAGTAACTTTTTAATAAACAAGTTAATACCTGACAGCAAACTTGCTAGGCATCCAAGTTTCTGCTCTGGAACCTGGGTTACTGTTCAACTTAGGTTACTAAAATCTCACGTTGTCTATCTTGTAGTTTGCAGACAGCATGGCTGTTTTAGGCGATGCTTCTGAAGCTGAAGGACACAAATATGTCCTGCTTGGGTTGGGTCCAGGTAAAACCAGTAGGTCTGTTTGACCACAGCTTATATGTAACACAGGATAGTAAAGGAGAATGTTGTCTGTCTTCATCGCTCCAAAATATTGATTGAAACATTGATGTTTTATTGCTGTAGTTAGGCTAGCAGCTCTTATGAGTTAATAACTACACTCTTTCTTGAAATACCCAGGAGTTTAGAGCAGAAATTACAGCTGGTTTGAGCTTTAAAAAAATGATTCAAATTTTTCATGCATATAATCTTGGTTTTTCCTGGGTGATGCTGCATTTTGATAAATTGTGTAGATTAAGCAGGTGCCAGAGGACCAGAGGTGAACATCAGATAGTATTTCCACCAGCTCTGGCACGTTTTAGAGTAAAAGAAGACATTACAAGAGTAGCGCTATAAAATCACAGAATCAATTAGGTTGGAAAGGACCTCTGGGATCACCAAGTCCAACCTGTGACTGAACACCACAATGTCAACTAGACCATAGCAGTAAGTGCCACATCCAATCTTTCCTTAAACACCTCCAATCAGGGTGACTCCAACCCCTCCCTGGGTCACCCCTTCCAATATCTAATCACTCCTTCTGTGAAGATTTTCTTCCTAATGACCAACCTAAACCTGCCCTGGTGCAGTTTAAGACTATATTCTCTCATTCTGTCACTAGTTGCCCAGAAGAGGCTGACCCCCACCTGGCTACAGTCACCTTTCAGGTAGCTGTAGAGAGCAATAAGGTCAGCCCCGAGCCTCCTATTCTCCAGCTTAAACAACCCCAGCTCCCTCAGCTACTACTCCTCATTGGACTTGTGCTCCAGACCCTTCACCAGCTTCACTGCTCTTCTCCAGACCCGCTCCACCAGTGTCCTTCCTGAACTGAGACACCCAGAACTGGACACAGTACTCGAGGTACGGCCTCACCAGTGCAGAGTACAGGGGCAAATGATATATTTGAACTAGAAATAGCAGCTTAGAAGCGAATCACACTCACAAATAAAGAGTTTGCTCAGAAATGCCTGGAGAGGCGAAGGACGTGAAAAGTTTTAAATGCCGGGAGCAATAAATGGTAAATTCCTAGGAGTTTTTAGCAGCTCCCAATTAAAGGGCCAGGAAGGCAGCCCCAAAACTGGCCGGGCGCTCCAAGCTCCCCCTCCCCGGCCAAGCCAGCCCCGCCCGGCAGTGGCTCCGCTGGACGCGGGGGAGCCCGCGGGGAGGCGCGGAGCGGTGCGGGGAGGGCGCAGAGCAGTGCCGGGAGGCCGCGCCCGCCCGCGGAGCCCTGCCCGGCCCTGCCCGGCGCCGAGCGGAGGCGGAAGCCGCAGCCGCGCCGATGAGCTGTGCGCGCTGGGCGGCGGGTGTGCGGAGCCCCGCGCTGTGCCGAGGTAAGAGCAGAGCGCGGAGCTGGCCCTGCCTTGCCCCCCGGGAGGATGTGGGGACGGGGCGCTGTCGCCGCCCTGGCCGCGCTGGCCGTGGCGCTCTGGCTGCGGCGTGACGAAGGTACAAACATGCGGAGAGCGAAACCAAAGCAAAGGGGCGGCAGCGGCTCCCGGCGCGATGCGGCCCACCCCCGCCTGCCGCGGGGGCCGGCCGGGCCGCTCACCTGCCGGGCGGAGGGACGGCCGGGGGCGGGGGAAGCGCTCACAGACCCGACCCCCAGCACCGCCGCAGGGGCTGCCGCGGACAGCGGCTGCCGGGTCCCCGCGGGCCTGCGGGTGGCGCCGGCTGCAGCGCGGTGCTGTGGCGGCCTGCAGGGGCAGCGCTGCCGCACTGTGCGTGCGCCGGTGCGGGTGCGGGAGGGAGCCGGCCCGCCCCGGCTGGGTGACACGGCGGGCAGGGCGCAGCGATGTCGCTGCCCGCGCTGGCGCGGCGCGGCCCGGCGCGCCGGTGTGCGGGGGTGAGGTAGGCGCCGAGCTGCAGCGCCCTGTGTGTGTACGTGTGTGTGTGTGCAGGGATCGCGCTCCACTGCGGCGGAGAGGGAGGAGGAAGGGAGGGAGGCAGGCGCACTGTGATGAGCAGGGCCTCCAAGTCCAGCCAGCGCCGTCGTCCTGCCGCTCCCGGCAGAGCCAGGGGCGGGGGAGCGGCCGCTCCCGGATGCTTGCCTGAGCGAGGGGGAGGAAGGGGGCCGCGGCTCCCCGCCGGGAGCCCGGCTGTTATTTTTTATTTATCCTCATCGGTTTCGGAGGGGGCGAGTCGGGAAAGTGCCTTTTTTTTTTTTTTTTTCCTCTCCACCTCACCACCCCTCCTCTTGCAGGTGCCCGCAGCGCAAAGCGGCTCCTGGAAAGTTTTGTTTGCGTGCGTGCGGGCTGCGAGCGGCGGCGGCCCGGGATGCGGAGCCCGGGGCCCGGTTCTCCGCCGCTTCCCGCCGCACGGCGGCTGCCAGGGCTGGCGTAGGCGCCCCCTGGGAAAGCCGAGTGCGGGCATTAAACCCCCTCCCTCCTCCCCGCCGCCCTCCTCCGCCCCCTCCGTCCCTCCCTCTCCCCCTCCCTCTCTCCCTCCCTCCTTCCCTCTCCCCGGTGCGCGGCCATTGCAGTGACCCCGGCCGGCCAAGGATGATTACGAACACGCGGGGCTTCCTGTGGTCGGACCTGGAGACGCGGGCGCTGCTGGAGATCTGGGGCGAGGCGGACGTGCAGTCGGCGCTGGACGGCAACTTTCGGAACAGCCATGTGTACCGGGACGTGGCGTGCCGCCTGGCCGAGCTGGGCTTCGAGCGCACCCCCGAGCAGTGCCGCATCCGCATCAAGGGCCTCAAGCGGCAGTACTACCAGGCCCGGGACGGGCTGAAGAAGAACGGGCACGCCCGCAAGATATGCAAGTACTACGACGAGATGGACCGAATCCTGAGCTGCCGGGGGGGACCCGAGGGCGCCCCCGAGCCGCTGGCCGCGCTGGCCGCGACGCCCGAGGTTGTCCCGCCGCCCGCGGGGCCGCTCCCCGCGCCGCCCACGCCGGGCACGCCGCACAACAGCCGCGAGCTGGACGCCGAGCTGGACGAGGAAGCCGGGCCGGAGTCCCCCCGCGACAACTTCACCGAGGACTCCGGAGAGTGCTCTTCCTACGCTGACCACCCCATCAAGGTGGAGTGCCCGTCCTTCGCCATCCCCGTGCCGCCGGGCGATGGTGAGTAGCCGGCGGGCTCCCGGCGCCGGTGTCCTCCCCTCACCTCGCGGGCTCTCCCAGCGCGGCTGCCGGCGCTTCTCCCCAGCCAGCGCGCTTCGGTTGGCTTCTGCCTTACCCTCCTCCTTCCCGGCCCATCCTCTGCGCTCCGAAATCCGCCCATGTCTCCCCCGGCCCTTGCACCTTGCGCGTCCCCGTGATCCGGGTAGCCCGGAGGGGGAGCGGGCGGCTGCTGGTGCTGTAAATGCTGCGCAGCGGGTTGAGGGAGATGCTGCGGACAGGAGCCCTAGGGAGTTTTTATCGGATTTATCACTGGGAAACCGATGGAAAACTAGCACAGAGGTTATCGAGACAAAGTGGCAGGTAGCACTGTACAAGAAAATAAGCATCCTTCTCGCTGGAGGATTTTCCCGTTCACTGCAGACTGTGCAGTTTTGTTAATCGGTATTAAAACGATGATGACGATAATACCTGAAAAATCTGCTTATTGTTGCAGATGGGTCAGAAAGCTAGCAGAGAGCTTTTATGTAATAATTGCATGCGTTATTTCAGAAACACTGCTTTTAACTTTAGTGGCCTTGCGGACCGAAGCAGCACTTCGATAAAGCCGTCCTTTCCCTGCTCGATCTTTACCCTCCGTTCCGCTTTTGTATTGTGGAGGTGCGGGGAAAGTGTTACTTGTTTGTTTTGAATCTAGATTAGTGCGGGCGTTTTAATACAAACATGAACCTGTCTTCAGAAGTTGACATCACTGAGGAATCAGCCAATTGGTTGACGTTTAACCAACGTTCTTTTTACACATAAACCCCATCAAAGAGTTGTTTACACTAATGTTCTTTTGAAATGCAAATCTAGAATGCCAACAGACTGAAACTCAATTTAGATTAATGTAATTACTTGCAATACACAAATGAGGCTATACTATTTAATAGCATTCACTTAAACCTTTTTAGAAGATCAAAAAGACTCCTATTGTTGAACTTTAGTACTACAACAATTGAAAGATGCCTCTGTGATTTTTGTGTTACCTTTGCAACTTTTTGGAAGCTTGTCTTTTTGCTTTAGTACTCTGAAATAGAAATATCTGAAATAAGTTCACATTGAAAAAGTGGAACAACTTTGCGGCGCATTAGGTGCACATCTCGTAGGGAGATTTTTTGCTGCTTTCCTCTTAGAAAATTATTTTTCATCAGAAAAATAATTGTTTCTTTCCTTGCTTTAGGCTTTAAAGAAGTCAATGCTCCAACTATTACCCCACCTCTCAGTCAGCCCAAAAGATCAAAAAAGCGCCATACAAATTTAACATTGGATAAAATGATGGAAAAATTCTTGCAGCAGAGCATGGATACAGATGAGAAATTTTACAGATTTGAAGAGCAGAGGCTCAAAATTGAGGACAAGCGTCGAGAAGCTGAGCATGCTCGAGAACTCCAGATGTTACAGATGTTGGGACAGATGTTGGCAGGAATTTCTTCTACGGTATCACAAAGGTCACAATCTATACCAACAAGTCCACCTCGGAGAGCGAACCATCGTTCATATGCGGATAACTTTAATTATAATGCTATGACAGCAACACTTTCTCCACCGATAGGTACTTCCTTCTACAGCATAAATAAAAGCTAGGGTTTTTTTAATACTTCTGTGTGAAAGCACTGGTAGTAAGCAGCTTTTGAAAAATAAAAGCTAATTGGAATAATTTAATATTGTGGTGAAGGTGTCTGTCTGATAAAAATGAAATGAAATTGTCATTCGTACTGTTGTACTGATTATTTAATACAGGTACATTAGTTACAACAAATTTTAATGAGCAAAATCGTACCTTTCAAACACTGTAAACATTGGGAACTTCTTTCCATGTTCACATCTGTGTGAAGTTAGGAGAAGCTTTATATGTAAAAGGCAAGTAGCAGAGTTGTGAAAGCTACTAGAAACATTAGGTACTTTGTAGCAGAAATTTTGCTGCTGTTCTGCTTGAAGTTATCGAGCATAACCCAGTGTATGAAGTTAAGGCTGTGCGTATGTTTTTTCAGGGCTGGGAAAAAAATGGAGTTTTGCCTACACTGAAGTAAGTCAGATGTTACAACCTAGCTTCTTTAAAATAAATTTCTTTACAACAAAATTCTGAATCTTACCAATTAATTAAATGTATTATTGTAGTAGGTGTTATAGAAGATGAAAATATTTGCTTGTTTTTCTTCAGCACCAGCTCCTTTATAAATTCTTTGGGCATCTGAATTTGGTTTAAAGAAAAAGGCAAAGCAGTAGCTCAAGAATTGGTATTTATGCACAGACCTTTCCTTCCTTACCTTATGTGTGGGCCAAAAGCTGGTCATTAACAGACTGATTTCTTGAGACCTGTGGGTCTTTGACATTTATCTTTATCATAGTCTCTTTCCACATGGAGGTAGACTGCTTGGGGAGGAGGAAATCAGGGATTTCTCTAAGTGCTGGAACTAGTCAGGTTGGGGCTTGGTGGTTTGTAGCCTGCCACGTGGAAATGAAACAAGTCTTATTCTGTTCTAATTCTGAATTTCACACTGCTTGGAAGGAAAAAAGTGTAGTTTGAAAAGTGTTGAAAAAAATCTGGCATGCCAGATCCTAATGGGCATTCTCTGAGTCCTGAGAGGATCTTGGAGCCATTTCAGTTCTACATTACATACTGTGTTTTCTGGTAAAATGCGTGGGAGACTGGGTGATTTGGTCTTTGAGGGTTTAGGCTGGCAGATCTGGTTGTGTTTCTTAGAGAATAGTTGGTCTGTAGCATTTCTTGGTGGCAGCAGACTTTCATAGATTAGATTCAGTGTTTTAAATGTTTTGACTTTTAAATTAAAAGGATAACTGGAGTGCTTTAGAAAATCCCTTTGGAAATCATTTAAGGTTCTAGACTGGGGTGATGGTACCTACAAGGCCTTACCATTACTTCTGAAAGGTTTTTCCTGAAAGCTGAATTATCTGTAACGGCTTGAAACTAAAGTTCAGTTTTTCTTGATGGATCATGTCAGTATACAGTCATGTTGCACTGTGCAGAAATGCATTATATTTATTTAACTGTAGCAAGAGCAATTCAGGATTCTAATCTTGTGATTGACAAAGGTGTAACAAAGCATTTATACTAAAACGTGAACATAATGCTTCAGGCAAAACATCTTTTAAGGAATTAAGATTTCTGTTTATAGCTGAATATGCCTTAGTGCTTCTGTAGGTAGAGTAGGGCTCTTTTAAGAATTGCTTTTTGCATAATTCTCTGTTTTCTCGCCATTTATTATGCATTCGCTTTCTGTTTACATATAAACAAAAAACAGAAACAAAGAAACAGAGGGCCTTCTTAATAACATTGCACTTTAGGGGTTACAAGCTATATTATGTTGTGTGGTTGAAAACCAGCAGATGTATGAAGTGTGATTTAAAGAAAATAATCTGCCCTATTTCCAGAGGAGATGAGCATTTTGTTCTCCTCTCGCTCACTGCAATGCTATTTTGGCTGCAATCCAAAACAGGTTGTGTTTTTGGTTTTTTTTTTTCTTTTTCTTTTAATTTCTTTCCTTTTTTCCCCCTTTTTAATTTAGTCTCAGTAGGAGTGGGATGTCTGTATTATACAAGATTTTTAAAAGCAAAAGATCAGCCAGAAGTATTTATCATTATTGAACACCAAAGAAATTTTATTACTGAAGATTAGCCTGTCTGGTTTAGGTTTAGCTTCTGTGGAAGACAGAGAAAAAGATGCTTTTTCCTGATAGCACACAGATGTGGAGTTTTCTTGTTTATTACATTTTTTTCTCCATTATGATGCCCAAAATTTCTAGAACAGTTTTCCTTCTTTTTTCCTCTTTTTTTCGCTTCTTTTTTTCCTCCTCTATATTTTGGAGTTGGGGGGTGGGGTCTGCTGAGTTTTATACAGCTGAAAATAAGGAATATCATGGGAGTTATTTTCTGCATAATTATGTTATACTGTATAGCATTTCCTTGAAAGCTTTTTAGAAAGTAAGCATGACTATGGTCTAGGACACTATTATTAACGTCCAAATAAACCACTCTTCTGAACAGAA